ATTTCACAAAAAAACGCTCACTTCATACCGGTACACCTAGTATTGTCTGTTTGTGGTCATGGATCTATTGAGCCATTAATTATTAAAATCGGTTCAGTGGCTGTCGAATTATTAACTTCTTCAGGGATATTGAAACATATGTGTACATATTATTTAAAAATTACCGTTATTTATAATTACAACATTTTTTAAATTTAAAAATTAAACGTTATCAAAGTAGGCCATGAAGGCTACATGTCAAAATCGGTTCGCAAATAAGGTATCTTTGTTTTTTGTGCACTTCATTAGAGCAGATCATAAAAATATACCGCTTCAACAACAGTGAAATTGTGCATTATTTTTTTTACTAAAAATAATTAAAATATTGTGAAACTAAAAATAAATACGTACGCTAAATATATCCATACATTTTAATTATAATCATTTTACGGAATTTTTAAACACTTCATATTCAGTTGAACGTGATTAGTAACTGTCCACACATGTGTACATTTAGTGGTCGTGGATATATTTTGTACTCTATTTTTTCCAGAACCAAAATGTCAACACGCCGAAAATATCTCATACCCCTACAAATTATTGAAACTCTCGAGAATTCTTTAGACTCAGATATGGAAGATATTGAAATAGAACATGAGTGGGATATAAAGGAAGTAGGTGACGCCAGCAAAGTAATAGAAGAAGATGAGAACTCCAATTCAGATGATAATATTGGTTATCATCGTCCACGGAAATCGACCCAAATTATAGAAAGCGACTGCAGCAGTAATGATCCTACCAGCTCTATACAAGCCTCATCAACACAACCCATATCACGTAGAACTTTGTGGCATTCTAACAAGGATAACGAATTTAATGACAACATATCAGTTTTCTCAGGTGTTCATGAGATAAAGATCAGTGGTAGAACTCCATACTCCTATTTTATCCAAATCTTTTCAGAAGACATTTTCAACCATATTGCTGAAGAAACTATTCGCTATGCTGTACAATACGGCAAAGATATATTCAATATCAGCATTTCTGAAATGAAGCAGTTCTTCGGTATAAACATTGTAATGACATATATAAGTTACCCAAATTATCGATTATACTGGTCTTCAAATCCTTCGCTACGACTTGGAATTATAGCTGATGCTATGCCAATAAAACGCTTCGAGGAAATCAAAAGATTCTTACATTACAATCACGAAATACAGAAGGAATGCAACGATATATTTATCAAAATTCGTCCCCTGCTAAATATGTTATCAAAAACAATTCGTTATAATTATTCTGATTTTTATGCGTTCATGCGTATGTCTCTCGAGTGTGGCTGCTTCCGATTGGTCGGTCTCTGATTGGTCATGCTGGGACTTTAAGGATGTTGTCTTCGTAATAAGCAGTTTGGAACGTGTAAAAAGAATGTAAATGGAGATTAAAGGTATTTTGGTACAGGCGGCAAGGTAAGAATAGGATCGCATGCGCAACACAGGTATCTGGCTAAACACGGAGCACAAAGTCGGGTTCGAAAGCGCGAATGTGAATGCATTCGAGAGTATGAAGTACTTAAGCGCGTCGCATGGATGTAATTGGCTGAGAGATAGATAGCGCGTGATTTGTCATGTAATAATACGAATACAAATTTGTGTATTTGGAAAAAATTTTTTGCGCAGAAGTAACAAGAATAACAAATTTCGTTCACAGAAAGATTTCGTTAACGTTTGTGACCCGTGCCCCGTCGGTCGGTGGACGTTCGTCCCGCCCCAGCCGGCGAGGTAGTCGTTTCCGGTGTCGACGGTTGACCGTGTTCGGTGTCGGTAGCCTTGGCGAAGCTCACCGGATATCCAGACGTCCTTGTGGTGTGTGTGTGTGTGTGTGTGTGTGTGTGTG